TCGGGGGTTGCGGAATCGCGATTTTTATACTAATCGCCGCAGATTACTCAAATTTGGATTGGTGGAATAGGTTTCGTTAGCTGGGAGTAGGATTTTCTTTCGCTCTTAGATTGGTCAAGTTTTTGGGGGAGGAAAGATGTTGACAGGAATCGATAGAGTGGGAAAGTGAAACTCCAAAATTTTATGACCCTAAGATTTATGGGGAAACGTACGTTTCGGGCGCCGAAATGTCGCGGACGCATCGTCGCCACGGGACCACCCAGAATCTACCCCTGAACGTCGCGTGCCGTTTCTTAAATTTTATAATTACGAATTCGCGAAAATCGTTCGCGACTTGATTGTTAATCTTGGCGTTAATCATTGATTTTTATCTCGGAGCGACATTCATGAGGAGATAACGGATTCTTAGTTTTTAAGATGAAAAATAAAAAGGATAGAATATAAAATTTTAGAGCTTCGAGGAATTCAAGATCTTTATGAAAGAAAAGAGTCGCGTGAGTCCGCCGGACGTAACATTTTTAAATACAACTTTTGTCTGAACAATTTCGCTCAATAATACTATATTTCCGAGATAAAAATTTGTAACGCTTTATTTTGGACATCTGGTATATACACATTTTTATAAAAAGGTTTAATAAGCATTTTATAACAAAAAATAAAATATATAATTAAGTAATTAATATTTATCAATGTTATACACATAATGTGTATATTATATGAACAATAATTAAGTTAATTTTTTATAAAAAGCATTGTAAAAGAAAGTGAACAGTATATTTTTTTTAAGATTACAATAAATATTATATACAAATATTATATACAGATTTATTACTTTGATGTAATATTTGAATTTTATGTCGCTGCTTTATTATTATATTACGATGAAGCCTATACAATGTCTCTTTAATCATTCAAAACGATAACCTTCCTTTATCAACGTTGCTCTTATAAACACAAAAATACAATAGATATAAGTATCTAATACATGTTGCTAAATTAAGAGTAAGATGTAAGAAAATTTATACTTTAGTTAAATAATCAATTAAATTTGCAATGCGTAAAAAATGTACGTGAATGTATGTGTCAATGTTTGAGTAATAAAAAACTATTAGCATATTTATAAAATTAAAAATATAAAGTTTAAAAATGTTACATAATTACTTAGTTCAAAACAATTCAAAAATATTTTTCATAGTACAACTGTTTCAGGTTGTAAGTATTGCTGAACAAGAAGAGAATCAATTAAAAAATTTTCTATTGCATCTATGGTTTACTTGATTGATATATTTTTTATTAGAATGAATGAATACATTATGACAAAGAAAGGGGGAAAACGTTTATAATTGGCTCCATTAAATTATCATTGTAGTTTGTATTGAACTTTCGCACTAAAGGAAGTTCAAATCCAGAGTCAAGAAACGTTTGTAAATAATTATCTTGGTAAGTACATTCAAATTAATATTAATATTGCAAGTTATATCTTATCGCATTATAAATCAGGATTGGCAACGTTAGCTCATAAAAATAACTTGTTATCATTACTGTTCTTTTTCCTGAAAAGTAACTCATTATCATTACTCATTATTAATTTGTTAAAATAATTCGTTACCGTTACCGTCACTCATAATATAATGAATCGCTATTTTTTCGTTACTTTTTTTCTTGATACTAATAGAATATTATATAGCGTTTTTCATTGGCAGAACTTGTGCGAATTCAATGCACATTAAAGCAGTTATACACAACTCTAATCTAAATATAAAAATAAGATATCTAAGATGATAAAATGCCTAAAGTATATCAAATAACATAATAAAGTGTATTAAAGATTTCGCAGTTTAACTCGTTTCTATATTTTTATTAACCATACATCTTTACGTCGATTGTACAGCGGTTTTAAGTGCACTGAATGCGTATTAGTTCTGTTAATGAAAAACGCTAATATATGCAGATTCTTGCAGTAACTATAAAAATGGATGGAACAATTCTGTTTTTAGTAGAAGAAAAAACTAAACGACTGATAAATATGTATATCTACACATACGTTCTAGTTATGATTAAAACTTTTACGTAAATAGACATAAAGTAACGATAAAAGTAACTAGTGAAATCGTTATCGTTACCACACAAATTTAATTGCGTTAACATTATTCAGGAGAAAATGTAACATCGTTACTCGAACGTTACCAATAAAAGTAATTTATAACGGTAACGTTACTTGCCACACACAATTCTCTGTTATAAATATATTATTAATTTAGATAAAATTAATATAGACTCTTCAACATTATAACAAAATAATAAACAAATATATGGAGAAATAGGAGTCAGCGCGGAGCCAAAATAAAAATGTAATGATAAAATAATCTTCATTAGCTTATGTATTCGTAAATAAATAACAATAAATAAAAGGCAAAGTAACAATCAATTTATTTCTTT